TCACGCTCTGAGGTAAGTAACAGTTATAAATCTGGTCTTGAGGGTATGAAACCCCGGATTTTAGTATCATGTGATTATTTTAAAGGTGACGCACATGCTAGGTGACGAGTGTGTGGGCGTGCACCGAGGTGATTGTGACTTGGTCTGTCCCTGAAACTGTAAAGTTAAATAATTTGTTGTTATCTATATACTCTCTATGTATTGATAAAATTTGACTGTAAATCATGTTAGAAATCATGCTTAGGCTATGTAATAGTACTGTTGGGACCCACAGAGGCCGCGTACTTGTTGAATTGCCTGCTAAATGCTATATGTACTCAGTCTCAGTTTTTACTTGCACATTTTATTTCAGTCTCTGTTATTATTATTGATACATCATATCATTATTGTTTGGGCTGATTCCATGATTATTGAGAGCCCGAGAGACTGGAAAAATTTATGACTGAGTGAGGCCGAGGGCCTGATTGTGAGATATTGATACTATAGCACGTGAGTTATCTGTGCAACACGTGAGTTGGCAGTGCAGATCCTTATATTATACTATAGTACGTGAGTTGGCCGTGCGGATCCTTATATTATACTATAGCACGTGAGTTATCTGTGCAACACGTGAGTTGGCAGTGGAGATCCTTATCTTATACTATAGTACGTGAGTTGGCCGTGCGGATCCAGATATTTATATTATGGCACGTGAGTTGTCCGTGCAGATTATAGCGCTTGGGCTGTAGGAGCCCCTCCGGAGTCTGTACACCCCCAATGAGCTCGGGTACCCATTGAGTGTGAGTGATGAGGGCTGGGAGCCCAATGAGTGATGAGGGCTGGGAGCCCGTTGAGTGATTGTTGTCCTGAGAGGTTGTACTTGATTTCCATTTGTTGTTGCACCTAGTTGCTATCTATCATTGTTGTGAAATCTTTGAAAGATTTTATATAAGAATTACATGAACATGAACTGTATAAAAAATAATTTGACATTAAACAGCCAGATTTGAAAGTATGTCTATTCTTTGCTGGAACTACTGAATATGAACTGTAGCTGTGTAGCTCGTCACTATCTTCAGTTATTTATTTATTATTGTTACTTACTGAGTTGGTTGTACTCATACTACACCGTGCACTTCGTGTGCAGATCCAGGTATTCTCGGACATAGCGAGTGTTGATTCTTCCGTACAGCTGATTTTCAGGAGATTTTGAGGTAGTTGCCATGTTTCGCAGACCTTGTCTCTCCTTCTCTATCTCCTTGTTTACTGTATTTGGTCTCATACTATTATAGACCATATTTTCCAGACTTGTATTCATATTAGATGCTCATGTACTCAGTGACACCAGGTTTTGGGGAGTGTTCGTGTCAGTATTTATGGGATTTTGTATTGTATTAAATTATTGTATTTTCAAACTTAAGAAAAATTATGTTTTATCGAGATTATCGGCTTGCCTCCTATTGAGATAAGCGCCATTACAACATGTTGGAATTTTGGATCGTGACAGTGATAGCAATTAGCAAGTAAAGTAATGAATTATTTGCAAGGTATTAGTATGGCCTTTCTGAGTTCACTCTTTAAATTCTGTCCCCCGTCTAAATTTTGGCTTTATATGTACTTATGTAATCAGATGAATTTTACTTTTTGTAAACAAATTCAGCCAACTGGACTAGCGGGGATAAAATTTAAATAGTTGTCAAAGAAAAGGTATTTATGCACCTTATTTAGATTACTTATCCACCTTTTATGAATAGAACTGTAGTTAACTTTTAATTAAATAATATGATCATTAATTATAGGATAATATTCTTTCACCCCTAATATATAGAAGCTAAACTTTTTAAGTTTTTTTTTTTAATTAAAAATGAGTTTGCTTTTAGTTTTGGTGTTGGAAAATGTGATATCTTTGAATTTTATTTTATGTAGAAAAATATAGAGTGAATACTTCGAAACTTCCCTAAACTATTACGTTTTTGTCAGTTACCCGCCTAAACTATCCGGTATCTCTAAACCCCCCTTAACTATATACCCTTATATATTAAAAGTCCCTCTTCGATGTTTTAGTGGTGCATGTGGTACTCTTTTATTTACTCAGCCTAATATAAATATCAATTTAATTAAGAATTTTAACTAATAATAAAAAATAATTAAATGGGTAAATGTTTGGGGGTTTAAAAATCAAAGAAAGAGGGTGAAAGGATAAACACAAGGTCATTTGTTAAAAAATAAAACTCTTCCATCTCCTCCGATAATGGCTACATCATGTCTCAATTGATTTTCGCCATTAATCTTCGATTAAACATTGGATTTTTCTCGTTAACCTTCGATTTCACTAGGAATTTTAGCTTAATATGAGATTTGGGATTAAAAAAAAAAAAAGGGTTTGGCAAAATTTTCAGTTAGGGTTTGGGTAAAAATAACTATGGGCTTTTGGTGGACTAAATAGTGTTAAAAGAAGAAGACCTAAATGAATAAGAAATATAATTTAAGAAGAAACAAGAAAAGAATTTTTTTTCAAATGAAACCCATAAGATGAAAAGATGAAGAAGAAAGATAAAAAAAATGAAGAAGAAGGCTACAATATAAAGAAAATAGAGGAAAAATAGAAAAAATAATTTTTTAAAAAAAGAGTAACTATAATTAACCATTAGACATGGCCAATTGGGGTCATTTTTATGTATAATTTCATCTCCCACGCACCTTTTGGCGAGTTACCATATGTATTTTATTTAAAAATCGACAAGGGGTTTTTAAATATATAAAGAGTATAGTTAAGGGGGTTTTGGGGATACCGAATAGTTAAATATGTAACTGATTAAAATATAATAGTATAGGGGGTTTTAGGGTATTCACTCAAAAATATATCTTGAAAAAACTAAGTTTATTTTGAAACATTTCGTTAGATGTTTTCATATGGTTAAAGAAGTATATTGAAAATGATTAAATACTCCTACCTTTATGTTAGGATCGAGAAATCGGGTAGTGCAGAATTTAGCCAAATAATATTATAATGACAATAACAAAGACAATGCAAGTTGATAATAACGGCAATTAAAGAAGATAAATAAGACACAAATTTAACATGGTTCGGTCAAGGTGACCTACGTCCACAAGCGGAGAGCAGCAATTTTACTATACCAACAAGAGTACAAAAGAGAGTACAAAATTAGAGTAAATACTCTAATTCCCAAATACCCCAAGAGAATAACCTCGCAAGATCACTCCAAAGAAAGGGTTCACACAAGTGTTTCCCAACACTCATTCTCTTACAAAATACTCTATAATGAAATAAAGGAGGAGAAAGAAAGACAAAAGTGAAAAGCTCTTGAATTGGTGTGTTTACAAATGAGGAGAAGCTCCTCTATTTATAGCAAGAAATCATTGGCTTAATAATGGATATTATGTCATGGCAAATGTCATTATCCACGAATTTTGTTATAGTGGATATTATATCATGGCAAATGTCATGAAAATTTGGCCCCCACTTTAGAAGAAACTAAATTAATGGCCATATTACAAATCTCCACATTGGCCTAACTTCGACTTATATATAGTAAATTTGCTCTACCTTCTCCGCAAAAATCCCAATGGGCAAAATCATTCTTCATAAATGCCAATCAAGTTCAGGCAAATCTTGAACTTGGACACTGGAAGGAGTTTTGTGAACATGTCAGCAGGGTTGTCTCTAGTGTTGATCTTCTGAACAGAGACTTTTCCTTCAGCAATGGTTTTTCGGATGAAATGATACTTTATATCAATGTGCTTCGTCCTCTCATGATACATCTGATCTTTAGTTAAGTGAACGGCACTTTGACTATCACAGAAAATGGTAAGACCACCTTGGTGTGAAATGAGTTCCGCAAATAGACCCTTCAACCATAAGGCTTCTTTGATTGCCTCGGTCACTGCCATATATTCTGTTTCGGTAGTAGATAAAGCTACTACATGTTGTAATGCAGCTTTTCAACTAATAGCGCAACCACTAATGTAAAATACATAACCTATCAATGATCTTCTTTTGTCAAGATCACCTACATAATATGAGTTTACAAAACCAACCAAAGTGTAAGTATTTCTCCCAAACTCCAAACGTGTGTTTGAAGTACCTCGCAAGTATCTGAGAATCCATTTCACAGCCTGCCAATATGCTTTACCAGGGCAAGCCATATACCGGCTTACCACACTCACTGCTTGTGAAATGTCTGGACGTGTACAAACCATTGCATACATAATATTGCCGACTGCTCTGAAATAAGGAACTTGTGCCATGTACCTCTCTTCTTCCTCTAACTGCGGGGATTGAGCAACTGATAACTTAAAATGAGCAGCAAGAGGGGTACTAACTGGTTTAGCATCTTTCATGCCAAACCTCTCTAAGACTTTCTCCAAGTACTTCTTCTAGGTCAGAAATAGCCTGTTGGCTTTTCGATCTCTTTTGATCTCCATGCCAAATATTTTCTTAGCTGCTCCTAAATCTTTCATCTCAAATTCACTTTTCAGCCGACCTTTCAAATTATGAATTTCTGTTAAATCCTTAGCAACAATGAGCATGTCATCAACATATAAAAATAGGTACACAAATGAACCATCATTTAACTTCCGGAAGTAAAAATAACTATCATATATGCTTCTCGAATAACCATGACCCAACATAAAGGAATCAAACCTGGAGGTCCGTAGTCAAATTAGTCTTGAAATGGTGAAAGTTAAATTTTTGGAAAATTTGACCGGGAGTTGACTTTTTGATATCGGGATCGAATTTCGATTCCGGAAGTTGGAGTAGGTCCGTAATGTCAAACATGACATGATTCAATATTTAACGATAAAGATATTTTTGGTACAAAAATCAAACGAAAAACATAATTGTTCTATATCCAATAGTTTAGGGGTAACTTTGGCCCCTTTCCGTAAAATAACTGAGATAAATAAATAATGGTAAAAAAATGGGCTGGACCCATATATTTTCCTTATTGGCCCATGAACGACCTAAGGTGTAGGAAAAGGAGTGATTTAGGTCTTATAATAAATAAATAGAAGGAAAAAAAAATAGAAAAACTGGAACGAGAGGAAACAGAGGCGGCGGTCACAATTGGAGAAGAAAAGTTGGGGAGGAAATTAGAATCAGGTATTTATTCTTCATCAGTAGTACATGACATTAACTTTATACATGATTTAGTTTGTAGTTATTATACCCATCGTTAGGAGACGAGAAAATAATATGACAATGATTACTTGGAATTAAATGGAGGTTTCTGTGTACAATGTTAGGAAAAGAATACACTGTACCCATTTTGGTTTCTGCTATAGTGCTATTACACACTTTCGAAGTCTTGCTATTACACGATTTTGATGTCTTTAATTTGAAATAATGATTACCTAATGATTACATAATGATTGTAGTAATAATGATTTAAGTTTTGGGATTTTAGACGGCTGTAACTTTGCATCAGAAAGTCACGTTCTGCAGTTGCACTGCTTTGGCATTCACGTTCTGCGTCTGATTTTAGAAATTGAATAAAAATCACAACTTTATTAATTGAAATTATTTTCTGTGTGATGTATTCAATTCATCTTTGGCTAGATTGAGTCAAGCGAAGGTAAATTTGTAAAGGAAAAAGTTAAATTGAGTATTGAGTTAGCCGAATTGAGGTAAGTATTTTGCCTAACTTTGTTGAGGGAATTTTTCCTACTATTTGACATTATTTGCTACATGCGGAGGTGATACATATATTAGGTGACGAGCATATATGCATGTGCCAGGGTAACCAAGCTCGGGGGTAAAATATGTTATAAATTGTGTCTTGTAGAATCACGTGATCTTCTTGCCTCATGCCTTACTTGGCTCCTAGATACTAAGACCATAGTATTAAATGTTAGAAACTAAGACTTAGCTTATTATAACTTGATTAAATTTGATGGAAATTCTGAGAATACATTGGTGTGTTTAATTCGGTCATCAATATGCCTAATCATTAATACATTGCTACGGCCGATATTCTTGAGATACTAGATTCTGTACTTGTGTTGTAGATCATTTGTGAAATTTGTTGGAATACTTGAATAAAAAGGTTCTTGTGGGTTTATTGAACTATTGTTGGCTTGGAAAGTTGTGATTGGGATTCATTTGAAATATTCGTTTAAACACTCCCCTTGACGTTATTTATGCTTCCTGCCTTGTTTGTCATTGATATACATATGCTTGGTAAGGAAGAGTGTAAAGCACGAAGGGTGATGCCGTGCCTTTGTTTATGCATTATCATGTGAGGGAGAGTGTAAAGCANATATACATATGCTTGGTAAGGAAGAGCATAAAACATGAAGGGTGATGCCGTGCCTTTGTTTATGCATTATCATGTGAGGGAGAGTGTAAAGCACGAAAGATGATGCTGTGCCATATTATTTGAGAGTTAAAGCGCGAAGGGTGATGCCGTACTATATTATTTGAGAGTTAAAGCACGAAGTGTGATGCCGTGCCATATTATTGAGAGTAAAAGCACGAAGGGTGATGCCGTGCCATATTATTGAGAGTAAAAGCACGAAGGGTGATGCCGTGCCATGTTATGTGAGTAAAAGGACGAAGGGTGATATCGTGCCATTGTATTTATATTATTACGCTTTCATGTTATGGTGAATTCATGGCACGAAGGGTGTTTCCGTGCAAGTGAGGACGAGAGACATGCATTATGTTGTGATATTTCTTTCTTGCAGATACCTTCATGTCTTTACCTGGAGTTGTTATTGTCGTGTTCATGGTTCTTATGTGATATGTCGTTATTGTTCTGTCTTTATCCTGTATCACCTTGTTGTCGTTCTATCATGCCTTCTATTTGCTTAAACTTGCTAATATCATGCCTATTTCCTGCTGTTAGGATTTCATCCATGCCATCTCTTTTGTTGCACTTAAGTGTAGGTCTTCTTCCATACTAGTCGTTCAAGTCCCTACTTGCTAACTTATAAAGATCATATGTCAGCTTCCTTATTTGTCATATTTGTCTTCATGCCTTCACCTTGCTAGTTAGTAGAAACTACATTCCTTTTTCTTAATCATTATCATTACCTATATGCTTTCTGTTCAGTCTGTTACTGATGTTCTCATGTACACTCTCGTCCTCCATAGTTATTTGCGTAATTTCCACTCTGTCATTTCTGTTATCGGTATTTCTGTAATTTGGATGGTATTGCTTTACGCATAATTAGTGCGGATGAGATAAATGCACGAAGGGTGTTGTCGTGCTGTTGACTTTGATGTCTTGGGTATATTTTTTTCACATTATGAAAGTTTTGATGTGATTATTGTGATTTATTGGCTTTCGCTCTTAGGAAAGGATTGGGTGAGATTTTGATACCTGTTTAATTGTGTTTTCCTTTAGTACTCCGTTATTGCTTTGTATAATCGTTTCGTGTGCTCTACTCTATTGTACTGTAGTATAGTTTTATTGTTAGTTACATTACAGGTTTTATCAATGAGCATCTTTTAACCAAAGCCTCGTCACTACTTCGACGAGGTTAGACAAGATACTTACTCAGTACATGGGGTCGGTTGTACTGATACTACGCTTCTGCACATTGGGTGCAGATATTGGTTGCTGTTGTTGCTGTGTTCTATGGTTGCCGGGATTGAAGATGTACTTGTGTTCCTATTGTAGCTGCCCTTTGTTCATGAGAGCCCTAGATTTATAAAAACTCTGTTTATATACTTTTCAAACAGAAGATGTATTTACTTCATATCAGCTTGTAAATTCTATTCTTAGAAACTCATGATCTGTACTACTAGTCCTTGGGGATGTATAAGACTTAGATAAATCCTTTGTTAAATTGTGTTATTAAATTAATTGAAAATGAAAAATCGTTAATTAGCTTACCTAGCGGGATGGGTTAGGTGCCATCACGACTAGTAAATAACGGGTCGTGACAATGCAGGGCAACCAAATATCTTTAAATCATAATAATTAGCAGGAGTACCTGACCACATTTCCTCTGGAGTCTTAAAGTTCAAAGGTACAGAAGGAGCTCGGTTGACAATATAACAAGCTGTTGAGATAGCTTCTGCCCAAAAGGCGTTTGTCAACCCAGCATTTGAAATCATGCAACGAGCCCTTTCCAAAAAAGTTCTATTCATCCTTTCTGCCACACCATTTTGCTGAGGTGTCATTCTCACAGTACGATGTCGAGCAATTCTTTCATTCTTGCAAAATTCGTTGAATTCATCATTACAAAATTCCAAGCCATTATCTGTTCTAAGCCGCTTAACCTGTTTTCCTGTTTGCTTCTCAATCAAAACTTTCCATTGTTTGAAATTTAAGAAAACATCATTTTTATTTTTCAGAAAATAAACCCAAACTTTTCTTGAATAATCATCAATGAAAGTTAACATATACCTGACACCACCTTTTGATGGGGTACATGAAGGACCCCAAAGATCTGAATGAATGTAATCCAAAGTACATTTTGTTCTATGAATCGTTGGAGATTTGAAGCTGACTCTTTTCTGCTTTCCGAACATATAATATTCACAGAACTCCATATTTCTGGTACTTTGGCCACATAAGATACCTCTTTTACTAAGGATGGAAAGACCCTTTTCACTCATATGCCCCAATCGCATATGCCACAATTTGGTGATGTCAGAATTTGATTTATCTGATATTGAAATTGCAGCAACTCCTGTAACAGTAGATCCCAAAAGAGTATACAACGTACCAGATCTGCGTGCTTTAATGATCACAAGAGCACCATGAGAAATTTTCAGAATTCCACATTTACCTGTGTACTTGCACCCAAGAGATTCTAGAGTGCCCAAAGAGATGTGATTTTTCTTCAAGTCAGGAACATGTCTAACATCGGTGAACGTTCTGACCATACCATCGTGCATTTTGATTCGGACTGTACCTTTTTCAATAACTTTGCACGCAATATTGTTGCCCATCAAGACAATTCCACCTTCAATAGATTCATATGTGGTAAATAAATCCCGATTGGGACACATATGATAAGAACAACCCGAATCTAAAATTCACTCATTGTTATATTTGAAATTATTATTAGTTGCTAAAAAAATAGTTCCCCCAGTCTCATCAGCAGCTACACTTGCTTCGACAGTATCAGTATTTTTGTGCCCATATTTCTTTTATGTATGCTTTTCTTTATTTTTTAATTTAAAGCATTCAAAAATAATGTGACATTTCTTATGACAATATTTGCACATGGCATTTCTGTATCTGGATTTTGACCTTGATTTAGGTTTCTCACAACTTGAGTCTTTCTTATTGGATCTACCTCTTATGAATAAGCCTCCCCCTTGGTTCCCACTAGTTTCCCCACTAATATCTCTATCTATTTGTTCTTTTGATTTCAAAATAGATTTGATATCTTTATAAGAGATATTATCCTTTCCATAAAGCATAATATCTCTTATATGTTTAAATGACTGGAGTAACGAAACAAGCAATAACACAACTTGATTCTCATCTTTGATTTCAGCATCTATATTACTTAAATCCATAAGAAGAAAATCAAAAGTATCAAGATGTGTAAGTATATAGGTACCTTCAGCCATACGAAAAGTGTAGAGTTTTTGCTTTAGGTAAAACCTATTTTCTAATGTTCTTTTCATATATAGGGTTTTAAACTTTTCCCATATACCTTTGGCTGAGCTTTCTGCTGCAACTTCACGCAAAACCTCATTTGAAAGATTTAAAATAATACATGCTTTTGCCTTTTTGTCTATGACGACAAACTCCTGGTCCATCATTTTATCCGACATCTTCTCCTTTTCTTGCAGTGCCAATTCTAAGCCACCCTGAATTAGGATAGCTTCCATCTTTAATTGTGAAGAAGAACTCCTCGATAAAGGGTTTATTCGGCCTAGTGTGTCACCTTAGGGTGCACCGGTTCTATTTGTGAAGAAGAAGGATGGTTCCATGAGAATGTGTATTGATTGTAGGCAGTTGAACAAGGTCACAGTCAAGAACAAATATCCTTTACCTCGCATTGATGATTTATTCGACCAACTTCAGGGAGCGAGGGTGTTCTCAAAGATTGATTTGAGCTCCGGTTATCACCAGCTGAAGATTCGGGATTCAGATATTCTCAAAACAGCTTTCAGAACCCGATATGGCCATTATGAGTTCTTGGTGATGTCTTTTGGGCTGACCAATGCCCCAGCAACGTTCATGCATTTGATGAACAGTGTATTCAAGCTCTATTTGGACTCATTCATCGTTGTATTCATTGATGACATCCTGGTGTACTCTTGTAGCCAGGAGGAGCACGCTTATCATTTGAAGATTGCATTACAGAGATTGAGGGATGAGAAGCTTTATGCAAAGTTCTCCAAATGTGAGTTTTGGCTCAGTTCAGTAGCATTCTTGGGGCACGTGGTGTCCATCGAGGGTATTCAAGTGGATCCGAAGAAGATAGAGGCCGTGCAGAGTTTGCCTAGACCATCCTCAGCCACGGAGATTAGGAGCTTTCTTGATTTGGCAGGTTATTACCGTCGCTTTGTGGAGGGGTTTATCTATTGCATCGCCTTTGACCAAATTGACCCAAAAGGGTGCTCCATTCAGGTGGTCGGATGAATGTGAGGAGAGCTTTTAGTAGCTTAAGACTGCTTTGACCACAACTCCAGTGTTAGTTCTGCCATCAGCTTCAGGTTCTTACATCGTGTATTGTGATGCCTCGAGGATAGGCATTGGTTCTATTTTGATGCAGGAGGGTAGGGTGATTGCCTATGTCTCGTGCCAGTTGAAGACCCATGAGAAGAACTATCCTGTCCATGATCTTGAGTTAGCAGCCATTGTTCACGCCTTGAAGATTTGGCGTCATTATTTGTATGGGGTTCATTATGAGATATATACTGATCACCGGAGTCTGCAGTATCTGTTAAAGCAGAAGGATCTTAATTTGCGTTAGCGGAGATGGTTGGAGCTTCTTAAGGACTATGATATCACTATTTTGTACCATCCGGGGAAGGCCAATATGGTGGCCAATGCTTTGAGTCGCCAGGCAGAGAGTTTGGGGAGTTTAGCATATCTTCCAGCAATAGAGAGACCTTTGGCATTGGATGTTCAGACCTTAGCGGGCCAGCTTGTCAGATTAGATATTTCAGAGCCTAGCCGGGTATTGGCTTGTGTGGTCTCCAGGTCTT